GCACAAGTGAAGGAACCCCAAAGCTCACTAGCTTTGTGACACACCTACCTCTGCACATGCGTGTGTTTACATGAACTGTGTATGTATGCGTGAAAACAGATGGAGGAACCAATGAAAACCATGGTTCTTTGACCAGTACGGCTCAGTTCCATTGAATAGTACAATAGAAGTACTGGTTAGGACCAGTCACTGTGTTTCTTTTCTGGGAAGAGAGGGGAGATTTATTAAAAATCAAATGGGTGGCCGGGCACAGTGGCTCATGCCTGTAATCCCAGCACTTTGGGAGGCCGAGGTGGGCGGATGACGAGGTCAGGAGATCAAGATCATCCTGACTAACACAGTGAAACCCTGTCTCTACTAAAAAAATACAAAAACATTAGCCAGATATGGTGGCGGGCGCCTGTAGTCCCAGCTACTCGGGAGGCTGAGGCAGGAGAATGGCATGAACCCAGGAGGCAGAACTTGCAGTGAGCCGAGATCGCGCCACTTCACTCCAGCCTTGCTCCAACAGAGCAAGACTCCATCTCAAAAAAAAAAAAAATCAAAAATCAAATGGGTTATGAATTTTCCGAAAAATGCCCTTGAATTTCAGCCATTAGCTAAGTTAGATATACAGTGCTGTGGCACATGCTCTTTATTTTCAGTAGGCAAATAAATATAACTTATTTTTAAATATATTCTTTATCCCAGAGACTGTTTTGGGGTTGGTTGGTTGGTTGGTTGGTTGAGAAAGGGTCTCACTCTGTCATGCAGACTGGAGTGCAGTGGTGCGATCACAGCTCACTGCAGCCTCGACCTCCTGGGCTCAAGAAATCCTCCCACCTCAGCCTCCCGAGTAGCTGGGACAATAGGCATGCATCACCACACCCCACTAATTTTTGTATTTTTTGTAGAGATGGGGATCTCACTATATTACCCAGGCTGGTCTCAAACTCCTGGGCTCAAGTGATCCTCCTGCCTCTGCCTCTCAAAGTACTGGGATTATAGGTGTGAGGCACAGCACGTAGCCAGATTTTTTGTTAATAACACCTTTCGGATGTGACCTCCTCTCCTACATATATGAAAATTTGAAGAATACATCAAGAGAGCAGGCGGGGTGTTGAGGCATGAAGGGACACTGGAAATGAAAGGAGATGGAGGGCCGTCTTCATATACTTAGAAACCTGCTATAGACAAGACACATATTCTGTGTTACTTCAGAAGCCAAAACTAAGAACCAAAGTACAGGGATTGCGGGGGAAGCCAGATTTCACCTCAGCAGAGAAACTTTCTGTCAACTAGAGCTGTCCAAAAATGGTTTGCTTGTGCCGTGGCCAGCTACCCATCACTGTAATTACCTAGCCAAAGCCACTTCTTTCTGGGTGAAGGGGAGGTGGGAGACTTTTAGTGAGCAAAGTTTGAGTCAATCTAAGAAACCTCTAGAATCCTGTCTAGGTCTAATATTCCAAGTTATTATTGGGGCACACTATCACTGCCAATCATATGCTCATAGCGCATGCACAGCAAGCGGTCCCTGTCCCCGTGGTGGTGACGTGTTTTTGCTGAGCCGGCCGCATTCCCTGACCGAGCCCCTGGTTGCTGAGGAAACATGTCTGTGCATGGAATGACTCAACTAAGGCCACATGTGTCCTGGGTCTTAGAACTAAGTTTTTTCCTGGCCCGGTACCCGGAACCTCAGGTCCATGCTCCCACCCATAGCCACCTCATGGATAGCATTTAAGATAACTCCTGATGCCTTATTAGTCTCGTAATAGGTTTATGGTCTAGGTAGGAAACTGGCTGAGTCCAGTTGACCTGCCCCTCCCCCTGCTTCCTCCTGCACACTCGGGAAGAACCCCTCTGTCCCTGCTCCCTTGGCCAGCGTCAGTATGGGAGGCTGAAGCGAGCCTGCGCAGAAGCCTGGGAGGTGTGCGGCAGACCACGTGTCAGCCCCCCAGAGGCTTAGCCCACCCGGTCAGGATGAGGCATCCAGCAAACCCAAGACTGGGAGAGTGACCTCAGTTAGCCTTCTTTACCCTTTCGGGAAGGGGAACATAAAGTTGGCCGTGACCCAGATACTCCTCTGTTCTCCATGTGAGACCTCCTTAGAGATCTACGCACCTGTCCTAAGCCACTATAATAAGATCAGGAATAGTAATGATGGGAGTGTTCCCGGTGGTGGTGGTAAAAGCAATGACTAGTGTTTACTGAGCTTTTCCTGTTTGCCTCACGCCATGATGAGCTCATTACATAGACCACCTTATTGAATCCTTACAACGATCCCACAAGGTAGATGCCATCAACATTGCCATTTTATAGATGAGGAGACTTAAGGGGCATTCCTGTGGAGGCACCAGTCTGACTCCAGAGCATGGCCTCTTCACCATGCTGCTGTCTTTCCTCAGTTTCTCTCTCATGAAAACATAGAAGGAAAAGTCACCTGCCTGCTCTCCAGCCCTTGTTTGAGCCACCCCAAGCCCAGAAGCAGCCACTAAGAGGGGTCCAGGGAACAGTTTGTGCACCAAACCCTACTCTGGGTGCTTCTTGTCCTTTCCCTCCTTTAACCCTCATAGCAAATGCTGGAGGTCGGTGCCATTATTTGCATTTTGCAGAGAAGTGCAGGGACTTGCTCAAGGTCACCTGGTGCACAGGAGTTGGGACTCCCACCCAGGCAGCCGTGCCCACCTCTGCAGTCAGCACCTCCCACCACCACACCAGCTCGCCTGGTTAAGTGAACCAAGCTGAACAGCATCACAGACACTAAATTTATATTTCCTGGCCTCCCCTTCCAAAATGGATACACTAATTACTGACCTTTTTTTTTAGTAATAGTAATCATCAGGAACACATTTTTCAATGTTTTCATTTTTCTATTCCGCATACTACCAAAAAAAAATTGATAAAACCCAGCAAGTGTGAGGCCATGTAAATTAGCAAAAGTTCAGGAAGTCATTACACTAAACCAAAAGAAACAAAGTGTTGATTAGGGGCTTATTTTTGTATGAGATTAAAATATGAATCATTAAAATAGGACTGTATTTCAGGCTCCTTATCCCCGCCTCATCAGAGACATCACCATGACTACTAGGTTTGGATTCAATGAATTCCAAAGCCGTTCTCAGCTCTCAAATGCAGTCATGTGTGCCATGGTTCTCCCTTATACATAGCAGTTTCAAAAGTCTGGTCCAGGACCCCTCTGCATCTTCCTGCCCATCTCCTGTTACTAAAATACCTAAGTGACGTGGTGTCTGCAGGTCTGTGAAGTATTTTGCTTTATTTAGTCATGATACTAAGTAGTGGCAGAAAGTTACACTAACAGCAACCAAATTTCAAAGGTAGAGGAAGGAACAAAGTCAAGGCGAAAACACAAAATTCCCTCAGGAATCCCTTAGAATCGGGTATCCTTGGAGCTTTATTTAGTATCAGTGATAGAGGAGCGGGTGTTTGTAGAAAAAAAGACATTAATATGGAACGCTTCTCAGGTCCATGCTGAGCGTGAAAGAAAAAATAATAGAGCAATATCTTCAACCCAAAATACGCCTTGAATTTAAGTTGGTAACTAAAATATTTGTTTAAAAAATCGCTAAAATTAGAGACAAAGGCCATTGTTTGTTATTCCTGCTGACTGCCTGTCTGTGTGTGGAGAAGGGTGTGCGGAGATAGTCAGAGGCCTGTGATATTTTAAAGATTAATCACCCACCCCCAAAGGGTTTTGAGGTACCCACCTGCATTTTCAACTTGGATCTAAGAGTCAAGGGGTGGGACAAGACCATGACACGTTTTGGGTTTGTTTTTGTTTTTTGCTAATTAATCCTTGGACACTTCAAATACCAAATATATCAGAACAGAAAGGTGCCCGCTCAACCCAGCCCCTACTATCCTCTGACTATGGCCTGACATCTCTAGATGATTTTCTAGAGACTGTGGAACCTTGGAACAATGGCTGTGTGCATTTTTTAAAGGAGGGAAGCATCCCAGGACATGCCAGTTCCTTATAGAGTATCTTGAATAGTTACCACCTCTAACTGGACTCGTGGATTTTTTTCATGTTTATTCTTTTCCTGCCTAGGATTGAGGTTGGTTAAAAAGGCATGTTTTTCTCTGTAGGGAAGATGTCTATGAAGAATCTATGAGTTGTCATCGGAGCATTACAAATGTTCTTAATGACTTCATAATTCTTCGAGTAATCTGAAGTGCAAGCTAAGATAGATGTAAAAAGCACATCCTCACAAATACAAGAGCAATAAATTGGGATCGTTTAAATTCCCTGCCATTGTTAGGCAGCTACTGAAGCAGTTCAGTAATGTGGGAAAGTGTTCAAATCCTAATGCGGAGGGAAGAGAGGATACTCAACTATTAAAAGCCTGAGTCTAACTATAGAACTGTAGATAGTATTAACAGGGCTTCTGTATCTTAGTGATGGGATTCTAGGTAATGTTTTGTTTTCTTTCTGATTTTCTGCCTTTTTAAAGCATTTTTGGGGCCGTGCACAGTAGCTTACACCTGTAATCCCAGCACTTTGGGAGGCCTAGGCGGGTGAATCACTTAAGCTCAGGAGTTTGAGACCAACCTGAACAACATGGTGAAACCCTGTCTCTACTGAAAATACAAAAATTAGCTGGGTGTGGTGGTTCGCACCTGTGGTCCCAGCTACTTGGAGGGCTGTGGTGGGAGGATCACTTGAGCCCGGGAGGTGGAGGTTGTAGTGAGCTGAGATCGTGCCACTGCACTTCAGCCTGGGCAACACGGTGCGACCCTGTCTCAAAAAAAAAAAAAAAAAAAAGCATATGATTTTCATGATCAAAAAAGTTTGATTTAAAACTTCACATAGCTCTGACCTTTTGAGTTTCCAGTGCTGCATTCTGTGTCCCGTGAGCTTGGTGAGGGTAGGAGGTGGCAGGCCTGTTTTGCTCTCCAGTTGTATCTTTGGCACAGTGCCAGGCACATGGCTGCTGCTCCCTAAATTGTTGTTGGGAAAAAAATTTTCCATTTCTCGATTTCCCTTTCCTTTTTCTTTCCAGGTGATGTGCTCTATGAACTCCTTCAGCATATTCTGAAGCAGAGGAAACCTCGGATTCTTTTTTCACCATTCTTCCACCCTGGAAACTCTATACACACACAGCCGGAGGTTATACTGCATCAGAACCATGAAGAAGGTACTGGAAGAGGCTTCTCTTTTCTTGCCTGAGGTTTAGACAAATCCAAGAAGTTTAATTGTTAACTTGATAAGCTGGTCTTATTCGTGTAAGTTCACTTGTCATTCAGCAGACAATTACTGAGTGCTTACGATGTGCAAGATACACTCTTGGTTCCCTGAAGCTCATAATCAGAGTGAAGCAGTGAGATGAATGTACACAGAAGCACAGAAGCATAACTGTATAGTAGGCACTGTAAAGGTGTGGTGGAAGGGTCAGTGACAGCCAGGTACAGGAAGCAGGGTCTGCTCATAAAGGAGTATGCCTGGAGTATGCCTTAGAGCAGTGGTCCCCAACCTTTTTGGCACCAAGGACCAGTTTTGTGGAAGACAATTTTTCCACCAACAGTGGAGGTGAGGGATGGTTTGGGATGACTCAAGTGCATTACATGTATTATGCACTTCATTTCTATTATTATTACATTGTAATACATAATGAAATAATTAGACAATCCACCATAATGTAGAATCAGTGGGAACCCTGAGCTTGTTATCCTGCAACTAGACGGTCCCATCTGGGGGTGATGGGAGACAGTGACAGATCATCAGCCATTAGATTCCGTAAGGAGTGCACAACTAGATCCCTCACATGGACAGCTCATGATAGCGTTTGTGCTTCTATGAGGATCTCATGCCGCTGCTGATCTGACAGGAGGTGGAACTCAGGCAGTAATGCGAGCCGTGGGGAGCAGCTGTAGATACAGATGAAGCTTCACTCACTTGCCCACCGCTCACCTCCTGCTGTGCAGCCCAGTTCCTAACAGGCCATGAACTGGTACCGGTCAGTGACCTGGAGGTTGTGGACCCCGCCTTAGAAATCCAGCAGGATTCTGATAAGGTTGAAGTGAAGAACATTCCAGGCAAAGAAAATGGCATAAGGGTGGGGTAAGGCTTTGGAACAGACAGCAATTAGATGACCTGGATTATAGAGCTTATCTTCCCCCACTCTTTTATTACAAAAAATTTCAAACATACTCCAAATAAAATAAAAAACATAAACCCCTCTGAGCCATCAGCCTTGCCTTCACAATGATCACCATTTTGTCATTGCAGAGCTAGTTCAAGGGGCTTAGCTTGGAACCAGAGTGTGGAGAACTTTGATTTCTGGAATATGGAGGAAAGAAATGGGAAGTCATTGAAGATGTTTTTAGCAGGGGGTAAAGCTGGAGGAAGGAAAGAAAAACACCCAAATCTATGAACTCAGTGTTGGATCAGGGCTTTCTGCATCAGGCATCAGAGGAGGCTGGTTAGAGTGCACTCAGTGTCCGTGTTTATTTCAAGTGTCCCGGTTGTTCCTCTTAATCCTTGATAGAAAGCAAAAGACCAGAATTTAATTCAGGCCCTGGACCTAGTTCCACAATAGGTGCTGGGGCCCGGAAATAGAGTATAAAAACCTTACTTGAGGCCGGGCACGATGGCTCACGCCTGTAATCCCAGCACTTTGGGAGGCCAAGGTGGGCAGATCACGAGGTCAGGAGATCGAGACCATCCTGGCTAACACGGCGAAACCCCGTCTCTACTAAAAATACAAAAAAAAATTAGCCAGGCATGGTGGTGGGCACCTGTAGTCCCAGCTACTCAGGAGGCTGAGGCAGGAGAATGGTGTGAACCTGGGAGGCGGAACTTGAAGTGAGCCAAGATCGCGCCGCTGCACTCCAGCCTAGGCGACAGAGCGAGACTCTGTCTCAAAAAAAAAAAAAATACAAAACATTGAGCCGGGCATGGTGGTGGGTGCCTGTAGTCCCAGCTACTCGGGAGGCTGAGCCGAGATCGCACCACTGCACTCCAGCCTGGGTGACCGAGCGAGACTCCGTCTCAGAAAAACAAAACAAAACAAAACCAAAAAACACCTTACTTGAACACCATTGCATTAAACAGTTGAACAGCTTGAGCACTCAGTGATGGATCGTGCCTCTGAGAGTCATGATACCCACATCCTCCCGCTTGGATCGGTCAGACAACAGACGTCCAAACGTGCGCCAATTTCTTCATAAGTACTTTTCCTTAGGTCCAGATTACTAGGGACCTCCAACCGTGGTCCCTTGGGGCATTTCCTTAAAATGATTGCTCATCCCCAAGAGCAGGGCTAACATTTTTGTTTGGTTGTTGGCAAACCAAAAGATGAGAAGTTTCTTGTTTTTCCTAATTAACACTTCACAAAAGAGAGCCTGACTCCAGGCGACTGACATCACCTCCTTGTGCCGAGCATTTCACAGCAGGGCCCCTCGCTTCCGTGACGGAGAACGGACAGCATTTTGTGCAGGCTCCCTGCCTTCCTCTCATCCTTTCCTCCCCTCACTCTACCCTTGCTAAATTTAGCAGCTGCCCTCCTCCCCCAGTTCGGTTTTTCATTCTTTTGCTCTTCCTGCCATGTGCATTTCCGGCTTGCATAATAGCCACCAGCCACTCTAGAGAAGAGGAGGTGGGTTTACTGAAGCTTGACATTAAGGCAAGAAATATATTACCTAGCCTGCCTTTCAGATACAAAGGGTATGTGATGGGTTTTCGTTCTCTCTCTCATTCTCTCTTTCTCTCATCATTTTTTTTTTTTTAAATCTCATTTGGAATTTCTAGCCCCATTTTATTCCTGAGTGTGATTGGAGGCTTATGGTCTCTCCTCCTCCCAGATCCTTCCTCTTTTCCCCTTGGCCTGATTTGACTCAGAAGTAGGTGTGTTTGTTGTTCTCATTTGCAGGAGCTCAGCAATAGAGAAAGCTGGCTTACTCTGAGAGCTACTCTCAAACCAAGTAAATACAGATGTGCCACCGCATACGCTGTCATGAGCTTTCTCTCAAGTATTATGATGTCGGTAGTGGTGAGCGCGGTGGGTAAGAGAATGGAGCTAATGAGGCCGAGGTCAAGGGTGTCGTTGCTCTGCAGACCAGTTAGCTTTTCTTCAGACCCAGCTCTTAAAAACAGAGCATTTTCAGAGACCATTCCTTAAAGCTGATGGCCAGGAAGCAAGGTCTGAGAGCATATGTCCCCCTCCTTTGTCTATTCAGACAGGGCGCATGTGCTCCGATGAACAGATACACACAACAAGGAGAGAAGTGTAGGTCTTTATCAGGTGGTATCCAGGGAGAAGAACTGTCCAAGGCACAGAGGTGACATGAAGAGGCCCTCTCCCTATCCCCCTGCCTTTCAGCTATATGGTGCCCTTGATGACAAAGAGAACAAGTAGAGAGGTGCATGGATCAGCACAAGTTTCCTGCCTCCAGCTGCTTCCTCTCTCTTTCCCTTCTTCTCCACTGAAAAGAAAAAAATCCAGCTCAACATAAATTGTTTCCAGAATCAATACTGTTACATTTAATTATGAAGGATAACAGATGATTGATGTGGGCATATGTTAACATACAGAAAGTTCTGGTTCTGGAAAAAAAAAATCTGTCAAGTGAAATTATACATACCAAATATTACTTCCCCAGTGATTTATTTTACATAACTGGGAATACAGTTCCATATAAAAGTATGTTAACCCAAGATGACACATGTTGCTACCAACTTGGCATAAGTAAGTAGGTAAGTGGGTAGGTAGGTAGGTGGGTAGGTGGATAGGAATGACAGAATGGAAAGAGAACAAGGCCCAACTCAGCTGTTCAGCAGCCTGGCACAGTGAAGCATGCACGGTCAAGTGCAAACACAAGGCATCATTCAACCGCCTTGTGATTTCACCTCATCGTGGCCACAAACTTAACCAGTTCAGGCATTCATAATTTCACAATGGGCATTTATGTCACAGTACAAATGTGTCTTGCTCAATCTAGCACCAGTTCCCCACATGTATCCTCTATGACTTTCTTACATTGAAATCATGCCTTCCTTAGTAGCCACGTGACAGTGCTAGAAGGTAGGAAGTTGGTGTTAGCTCAGAGGTTCCCCTCCATGCCCTGACAGTAGACGAGGATGATCATCATGCTAATTCAAACTCTCTATATGTGAACATTCATTACCTCTATAATGTAGTCCATTCTGAAATCACATCATGCCTTGAGCAAAGCAGTCCTCAGATTACACTTACCTCTAGAAAAACCAGCATTTTCACCCTTTTTCCTTACCAGTTCTGGGAAGGGAGGGTGATTTTATATAATTTGGTTAACCTTGTAATTTTTCACCCCATACCAACACACTTATGACAGTGACACAGGGCTCCATCAGTAAGTAAGCAAGGACGACATATCAAATATTCAGGCAAAACCAGAACCAGACCATCCTCAACAAACTGGGGTGAGTGGGTGTGAGTGTGAGAGTGTGTGTGTGTGTGTGTGTAAGTGTTTTAAAGGATGAGATCTGGAAGTCAGGAAACCAGGTCCTAACCCTTCATTCTGTCAGAACAGATCATAAGGGCTGAAGTTTCTCATTTCTCTGACTCTGTCTCCCCAGTTATAAGAAGGGGGTTGGACTAAATGGTTTCTGCAGTCTCTTACAGCTCTCAAATCCCCACATTACATCCAAGGAATCTGAGTGTTCCTGGGTGATATGAAGATAAGGCGTATTCCCTTCCTTCGGGGTCTTGAGCATCTAAAATCTAGAAAATCATAGCAGTGTCCTGCCTGGTGTTGCTCAGAAGCAGGAGAAAATCTCTTCTGTCCTGATTTGTCTCACCTTATTGAGAACTTCAGATAACATTGCCCCTCTGAGAGTGGCAGCAAGAGTAGTGTCATTCACTTATTTCATCATAAAAAGCTCAGTTTAAGGACATTCTTTTTCCTTGACTGTTACGACTCATTTTATCTTTGCAATATGAATTAGAATGCAGGTAGGTAGTTATGTAGAAAGGAGGTAAACAATGATATTACTTCTTTCACAAAAACCAGGAGGCAAAGCATCTTTAGAAATAGCAGACCAGCAAATGACTATAAAATAAATTTATTTTATCACGTTGCAGGTGTGTTAACTTCTTTTCATACCTTAGATTCTTTTATTTTGGGTTTTATCCCCATATATATATATTTAATTGTCACT